ATTTCCCTGTCATAACGCATCTCTTTAACCTCCTGAAACAGGATTCAAAACTACAGCAAATATTTCCCTGTCATAACACATCTCTTTAACTTCCTGAAACAGGATTCAAAACTACAGCAAATATTTCCCTGTCATAACACATCTCTTTAACCTCCTGTGCGATTCACAAGTGTAAATTCACTTGCGTGTGTGAATCACCATACACATATACAGATATAGATTTTTCATAACAAATTTAACTTCCTACTCTAACACAATAGTAATTCTAGAACTGTCATCCAGCTCTTAATTGAGAAGAAAAACAAACACGACATAAATATCTTGACATCAATAGTTCTTACTAATAATGGCAAAATACTTTTCTTTACAGCCAAGTAAGACAAAAGTATATTTGTGTTAAGATTATCTTAAACCTTGTCGTGTTAAGATTATCTTAAACCTTCCTTCCTTTACCCACCATTCAATTTTAAAGAATATTATTTATGCTGATGCTAGTTTATTACCCACATACATACTTTACAAACTTTCTACAGAACATACTTAGTATCCCCTGTAAGTACTCATTTTTCATGCAACATATTTCACATCTGTTTAAGTAAATGCATAATCAGGAAATACCTGAAGTTCATCTTTACGCTAGGACACATGGCTCACTTTATCATCAAATCAAGACGGTTTAATAACAATCTGTGTCAAAATATTAAAAAATATACAATTTTACAGCTACATTAAATGAAAATATATATTTACAGTGTATACAGGACGATGAAAGTATTGCACAGTTGATAAAAGTATTTACTTACAGTGTATACAGGACGATGAAAGTATTGCACAGTTGATAAAAGTATTTACTTACAGTGTATACAGGATGATGAAAGCATTGTACACTTTAGAAAAGTATTTACTTACAGTGTATACAGGACAATGAAAGTATTGCACAGTTGATAAAAGTATTTACTTACAGTGTATACAGGATGATGAAAGCATTGTACAGTTGATAAAAGTATTTACTTACAGTGTATACAGGACGATGAAAGCATTGTACAGTTGATAAAAGTATTTACTTACAGTGTATACTAGATGATGAAAGCATTGTACAGTTGATAAAAGTATTTACTTACAGTGTATACAGGACGATGAAAGCATTGTACAGTTGATAAAAGTATTTACTTACAGTGTATACAGGACGATGAAAGCATTATACAGTTGAGAAAAGTATTTACTTACAGTGTATACAGGACGATGAAAGCATTGATCTCTCCATGGTTTCCAAATGATGAATCCAAACAGATAAATCATAAACATAGTTGTTTTAATGTAGGTACTGAAAAATGGCTTGCTGAAGTCCTCATTCTTAAATATGTACTGTGAATAAAAACGAATTTTTTGATGAGGCTATATACATATTTTCAAGATTCATTAATGCTTATGAAACAAAGTACTGGATTAAGATGGATTGGGATGAAAGGAAACAAAAAAAGAGTATTTATGGTCAACATGACCAATTACTACTTTCAACTTTTTTAAACCTAGATGTTTATCATGACCAATAATATTTATATCCCTCTTCCAGATAGAAAACTAATAAATAAGAATTTTCAGTACAACTTATTACAACCTGCACTTATAACTCTATATGCACATTTATTGAAACTAGAAGATGTACCCATTCAACGCATGGTGAGAGATTTATTAAAGTGTTTTTCAGAAATATGCCAGTGGTAATATAAAGACTGAAAGTACATAAGAATAAAATTATTCATATCCACTGGACTATATTATTTAAACATTTAATTTTCTATTTTAGTATTTTAAAGAAAAAGCAATAAATAACGTGGCATAAAAACATCCCACTTAATACAAGTGTGTATCTTGAAAGTATGTATAAACAATGTGTGAAAAAGAAATCCCTCAAATTATTGACAGAATTCAAAAACAAAATGCAATTGTAGAATTAACGTTTTACCAGTTATGAATATAAAGTGTCTTCGTGTTTGTCCCAGGTATGTCAGTAATGGTTAAAAAGTACACAGGCTGTATCTATAATCCATGTAATGAAAGAAGAAACTGGAGAAACCCAACCAGTACCACTAGTGACCATCCACACTGACTGATCTATATTTAGCCAGCACTGGAGCTATGAAATCTATGCATTTTGAAATAAAAATAACCTCTTCTTAACACACCAAATAATTCATAGTTCACAGGTCCAAATGCAAAAGCCTCGGAGGTGTTAGATGGCAAAAAACAAATGAACTTCTCTCAAATTAAAGTCCATGGCTAGGTGGTTAGGGCACTTGACTCCCAATGTGAGAGGTGTTGGGTTCAAATCTCCATCCCACCAAACATGCTCACCCTTTCAGCCGTGGGGACATTATAATGTGCTGGTCAATCCCACTATTTTTTGGTAAAAGAGTAGCCCAAGAGTTGGCAGTGGGTGGTGATGACTAGCTGCCTTCCTTCTAGTTTTACACTGCTAAATTAGGGACGGCTAGTGCGGATAGTACTCATGTAGCTTTGCGCGAAATTTATAAAACAAAAATGTAAGGATGAGTTGTGTACAAATTATTTATATTATTTGACAGTTGAAGGATAAGAAATATTTCAACAGTAATCTTTGGGCCCCTTACATTTTATGCACAATATTGGAAGGTTTAGAGGTAATAAATCGTTTAATAAAGTGTGACTTGTAATAAATCGTGAACCCGCAACTTCTTCTTTGGAATTACACTTCTCAGTAACTTAGAGAGATTTACGTGTAGGCAGAAATAAGATGATGTTAAAATCTCAAAACTAATACACTTAAATATTACAACAACCAGCATAGAGAATCACGTTTAAACTAATTTTTGTTATATAACAACATTTGTTGGTAAACTGGGGACAATGAAAACTTGTACACATTTGGAAGGATTTGACCTAAATCACAGTTTCACAAATGTTTATAGTTCTGGACATTCAGGTAGCCTTCACAAATCCCATATCTGTTGAAATTGGAGACTGTATCAAGAATTTTAACATTGTCCCAGTTTACATTCTCAAAGAAACACATTCAGCAAAATATAACAGAAACGGACAATAATAATATACAAATATTACTGAGGTCATCAGCATTTTTTGTTTGTTTGTTTGTTTTAGAACAAAGCCACATCATGCTATCTGCTGTTTCCACCATGGGGAATCTAACCCAAAATTTTAGTGCCGTAAGTCCGTAAACTTACCACTGTCAAGGTCATTAACACATGTACCATTTATATCTATGATGTAATAATAAAAAATAAAAACAAAATTCCTGGAGACAGATATAAGGTTACTGACCTTTGTGAGTTCTGATGACGTTACCCAGATGATATCAACGACAAGTAATGCAACAACCCCCACAACCAAACGCTGGGACTTTGTCAAGATGGCCATGTGTTTGATACTTTGTCTCTACATTAAGCTTGTTTTGATAATTACTTTACAAGGTAGTACACACATACGTCTGATCGATGCATAGCTTTCACATATTCTTCCTTCCTGTATACCTCTGTTAAAACATATTTATATTCAGAGAGATTTAAAATGAAACTATTACACCATTTAAAAGAATAACACAAACACACACACATAAATAATGTTTACTTTACATACTTTAACAAAACACTTGTGCTACAACATGCCACTAGAACAAATTCTCGGCATACATGTGAAGATTAGGCCTATGTTTTCTTTCTAAAGTAGGGTAAGATATTCAATTCTATCAAATTTTGACTTTTTGTTCCATTTTACTTTCAAGTTTGTTTGAAGTTAAGTACAAGACTACACAATGAGCTATCCGTGCTCTTCCCAACATGGGTATCGAAACCCAGTTTCTAGTGTTGAAGGTCCACAGACATACCTCTGTGCCACTGGGGAGCATTTTTACTATCGAAACTCCCTTTTTTTGACAATTACCTTCATTTTAACACTAATGATGTTTCTTAGGTTTTATAATTTTTTTTCCTTTGTGTTGTTTTCAAGTCAACAATTTTTATTATTTTCAGTTTAGCCTATTTCAAGTCTATTCTTTATTTAAGTTTTTTTATTTTCCCATAATTTTAATTTTCATGCTTATAAATGTTATTTTGCATTGTTAACTTAGTATGTGGATTTAGGATTAAGCTAAATATCCTAAGCTGACTTGGTCTCGCGAGATAATGAAATGGCAGCCAAAAATATATCACTAATAGAGGGTATCTAACTGTAGATTCAATTCATTCTAATCATTACAAGTTTTGATTTTCTTGTGTACTAACTTATGATATTATATAAAGGATGAGCAAAAAATCTGGGCACCCCCTTATTTAAAGCTCAGGTTAACAATTTAGTTTTTCACATTTTAGTAATGATTGTGGCAAAGGAACGATGTGAAACAACTGATGCTTTGAAACAAACAATTGTTGAAAGTTTCACTAAGGTCACCCCTAATATGATAAGAAGGATGTCACAACGCACATGGAAACATATCCTATTTCATAAAAATAAAGGCCAACAGACAGACATTTTGGATTGTCAATCGAACCTTTTGTTAGTCTGTGTTAATACGAGATATGTCAACATGCAATAAATTCATTTTTTCATGTTCACTGTCTTTTTTTCTTTTCTTTTTGTTGGGGGGGTGGGGGTGCCAGACTTTTTGCCCACCCTGTACATCACATCAGCTGCTAAAATTTATAAAAATGACTTCATCAATTTATTACTTTCAGTTAAGACCTATATACTTGGTTTACTTTTGATGAGAAGTTACTAATAACAAATGCAATTTTCTATACCCATCTGTAAAATTTCCAGAAAGAAATATATTACTTTACATGTGATGATGGACAATTTACCATGTAAGTTCTGATAACGAAATTTGAACTACTCCCCATGATCCAAAATCCTGCAAAATTGTTATACTTCCATGGATCAGTAATCAATAATTTTGCATCAAAATTTTTGTTCAAAAATATAGTTTTACCTTCAAATTTACAAGATTTTGTACTATTTTGATGAAAAAAAAAGTTTTTTTATAGGTTTTAATGTTTTCACTGGGAGGTTTTATATACTTTCACTAATATTTGAATGTATTTTATGCAGATAAAACTCATGAGCCCAGAATTATTTCTTTTATTAAATGAAATATTGCTATGATGAATAACCTAATATAATGTTCTGGGGCAACAAGGAATCCATTGCTCCATCTCGGCTGTCCTATCCTCTAAACCAACTAAAACTATCAAATAAATAAACTGTAATAAAAAAACTTCAAGCCAGCCCCCTGTCACTCATATAGTTACCAAGCTTTCTCTTACACTCACTTAAATTTACTGCTTCCATAACATTTGAAGGCAACCCATTCCAAAGGCCAACCACCCTGTTAAGAGAATTAAACTTTCTTAGCTAAAGATGGCTCCTACCCTGCAAAAATTCATACTTGTGTCCCCTAGTCCTACCATTCCCATTGTTAAGTATGAAAAACAGATGACGCATCAACACTATCAATTACCTTTACAATTTTAAACACCTCAATCAGATCCCCCCTAACTCTTCTTTTTTTAAAGAGAAAACAATTTGGGAGATCTTAACCTCTTCTCATATGACAAACCCTCCATTCCAAGTACCATTATAGTAAACCTCCTCTGAACCTTTTCCAACAATTCAATGTCCTTCCTAAGGTAAGCAGCCAAGACTGAATACAATACTCCAAATATGGCTTAACCAATGAAATTATAACCTCTTTAGACTTGTATTCAATAATAAATTTATATTACTTAAAAGGAAAACATTGGAACTTTATCCTCATTATTTGTAATAATGGAGCGAACAGTATAAATCTCTATTACCTAAAAGGAAAAACATTGGAACTTTATCCTCATTATTTGTAGTAATGGAGTCGACAGTATAAATCTCTATTACTTAGAAGGAAAATACATTGGAACTTTATCCTCATTATTTGTAGTAATGGAGTCAACAGTATAAATCTATTATTTATGGCAACCAAGAACTCGTAATAATACCTTTACCAAGTTTTTTTGTATTCAAATCTGTAACCATTTGAAGCTTTTTTTTTCTTAGGCAAAAACTACAAACATTTCAGCTTGTTTTCTTAACTTACATAATTTAAGCAGTGTTCCACATTTTGAACAATTGATAGGTGGAAATATGATAGAACAAGATGGCTGTATTAATTCTGAGCTAGTTAAGAAAAAGTTGGGAAGTTTAAAGAATTATAAGGCTCCTGGGCAAGATAATATTTCCCCAAGGGTTATGGAGGGGATTAAGGATTGGATATATAAGCCACTTACTACTATTTTTTTGTAAGTCCTTGAATAGTGGGCAGGTACCGGAGGATTGGAAGTTAGCTAATGTCAATCTTTTTTTCAGGGGAAGTGATAAAAAGTGTTATAGTAATTATATACCCATTATTCTTGCACGAGTTGTGGGAAAAGTTTTGGAAAATCTGATATAAGATGCTTTGCAAAGCCATTTAACAAAGTTTAGAATTTTATTGGATAGTCAACATGGTTTCACATGGGAAAAATCTTGCCTTACAAATCTTTTTGACATTCTCTGAAAAGATTACTGCTTATGTTGATGAGGGTAAGGGTGTAGATTTGGTCTATCTGGATTTTCAGAAAGCATTTGACAAGGAGCCACATAAAAGGCTTGTAGAAAGTTATCTCTATAAGTTAGGAGGATAAGTTAGCTAATTGGATAGAAAAGTGGCTGAATGGAAAAAAACAGAGGGTTGTTACAAATGAAGTTCAGTCAAACTGGATTAATGTTACAAGTGGGGTACCTCAGGGCTCAATCTAAGTACCTCTGCTCTTTCTGATTTACGTCAGTGAAATAGATGATAGAATGGTCAATAGATTACTTAAATTTGCAGATGATATTAAGGTCTTGGGTGTTGCTAGCTGTGAAGAGTATGCTACTGATTTACAAAAGGATTTAGATCATTTAGTGAGTTGGGCAAATAAATGGCAGATGGGTTTAATCATAATAAATGCAAGATAATGCATGTGGTTTATCATAATTTGAATTATAAGTATAATTTGGATGGGAATAACCTTAACAGTGTCATGAAATAAAGGGATTTTGGTGTAGTGATTGATCAGTCTCTTAAGTCATCCAAGCAGTGTGCTGACAGTCGATTCCATTACTACAAATAACGAGGATAAAGTTCCAATGTTTTCCTTTCGGAGAGATTTGCTATTCATATAAACATCATTACCTCTTAAACAATTTACCCAAAAATGTGGTTTTAGCTGACAATGAAAACTTCGATCAGTTGGAGGTTTTGATTAACAAGTTCACAAATGATGATAGTCTTTCTATAGCAGAGAAAAAGCACAAGTAACAACTTTTCCACCTTCTTAGATTGAAACATTGTTTCTTTTATTGGATTTTAAATAAAAGTTTTGTAATACCCATATCAGCTGTCTCTGCTACAGATCTATTTCAAGTGGGTTCTTCGACATCATGGATGATAGTCCTTGTTAATTCTTCAATGTTTGGAATATCTAATTTACTTTCAGTCATCTCTTAAACCTAGACATATGATGAATATTATTGTATGGGAAGCATGTGGCAAATTTAAATACTTTACACCACTGATCAAGAGTGTTCGTTGTTTTATAGATAATGGATGAGACTAATGTTTTCAAATGTTAATGACAGTAAGTCAACAAGGCTTTGGAATATATTTACTAAAATTTTGAATGAACAACTACGAATATTTATACATGATTCTGATTAGAGGTTTTTTTATAATTCTTCTATTCCTTTACTATAAAACAGATAATGAATAGCTTGAAATGGGAAAAGTATGTAAACAGAAAGGCACTAATCTAAGTTATTTGAGCTGCAAAGGGAGGTGCAAATATATAAATTTATCTTAGCTGAAGAATAAAGGAACTTGGGGCAAATTGACTCAAGCTTTTGTCATTTTTGGGGCTCGGTGCAATAATCTATTGAAGTACTTTTCTTTGGGTTTTTTAACTAATAATGTTGGTAGTAATAGCTTGAATATAAGAAATGAGAAGTAAAACTTTTTAAACGTACCAACTTGTTTTTATGTTGATATTTTTACTACCACTGTTAATCCATGTAGGCTATCCCACCCACTAAATAATAAAAAAACAAAGCCAGCTGTTACTGCTTCCGCCACATCTGAAGGCAGCCCATTCCAAAAGCCAATTACCCTGTTACCAAAATCATTTTAGCTGAATATGACTCCTACCCTGCCAAAATATACATGTTTGTGTCCCTTAGTTTTACTATTCTCACCATTAAAAGCCATCTGCCATTTATTCACTAAAGTCAAAAGGACTGATAGGTCCCACTTTTGAATTAGTTTGCCTAATGATAGTGTTTTGATCATTTAAAATCTTTCAATGGCTTAGTTGAATATGTGAATGACCATAAAAAATATATTTAGGAAAAGGTAATGTTTACCATTTTTAATTTTACAAATATTGATGAAAATGTGTTCTGTATGTTTTTATTTTTTTAATTCTCAACACTAATATCACATAAGAAATAATTGGATAAGACAAAAGATACACAGTGAAAGAACTGGTATTACATTCTCTTAAATTAAGACAACACGATTACCTGTATGTTTTTCACTAGTAGGATACTTTTAATAATAAAGAAGTTATACTAATAATAATTAAAAATTTGTAATAAGCAACATTAATAATATCTGAAATACTTTTCCAACAAAACTAATTAAAGAATTACAAGTAACTGAAGAAAGTCTTAATAAAAAAATTATTATTCTAAGCTAGCAGAAAAATAAATAAATATGTGTTTCCAAAATAGCCATCAGATTTGCCTTAGCATAACCATCACACCCAATCTCTTTTTACACTAGTCATTTATGTTGGTATAAAGTTCAAAGAAAGAAATTGGTGGACTTCAAGCAAAAATTTTATCATTCTTTTTTTTCTCAGTGTAGAATAATACTCAGAATATACTTGTACGTCTTTATAACTGGATATCTTGGGCTTTTGAGTCCTTTTTAACTCCCCCGTATAGTAAAGTAATACTATTGCATTACACCCAATTCATTATTTGATATTGTACAGCGAACAAACTGTTTAATGATACTACATATTTATTTTAATTTTATCAAAGGTAAAATTGAAAATATAATATGTGATGTAGAGGCCTAATGAGGTCTGCTGTATAATACTGAGTAACAAATTAGGTGTAATGCCATAATATTATTCACACACCTAAATTAATTTAGGTTACTAAATGGTGAGTTAAAAAGAACTCAAAAACCCCATAAGTATTGTATAAACATCACCATTATAAGGGGCCTAACTGTATTGTTTTGGTTTGCTGACCCAAGCTGTGCTGATGAGTCTTGAAACTGCAAAGTATATGGCAAATCGAGAAACGCATTAGGCCTAATGCCACAGATTACATTTTTGGTTTACCTTTGGTGAAAATAAACTATTTATAACTGAATAGTTCACTTATAAGATTACTTTTTGTCTATCAAACTTCTGAAATTTGTAAAAAATGAAATTTAAAATAATTTCAACAGAAAAAAACATCATCATCATATGTACTTAGCAGTTATTGTTTTTTACATTTTATTTTACTGTAGTGACAATGAGCATGATTTTTAAAGCAAATTTAACTGTGGAACACATACCCCTGAGAGGCACACTGATACCTTTCTAGGGGTACATGAGAACCTTTGAAGAAACCACTGAAAAGAAAGTAAACCCTATGTCTTAAAAATTACCAATAATTCCACTAGCCAGAACTCCACATTCTTGTAGTGTTGACTCAACCTTGAATTATTTATTTTCAACAAATTGTGTCAAGAATACACCACTGGCTCAAAGACATGACTGACAGCACACATCATAAAAAGGTTGGGAACCAGTGAACTATGCTATACATGTATTAACTACACTTTTATTTATATTTGTGTTAGTTATTTTATCTGTTGTGGAACAAATTTGTCCATTACTTTCAATCATAATAAATAGTATGTGAATGAAGTTTAAGTCTAGCCTAGATCACATCAAAACAAAACTGCAAGTTAAGAGCTCCACTAACAATTAGGAATGTGCCCTTAGTTAATGATTCATTCTTTTTAATGACTCTTTATAGTGAATCATCCTATTTGAATTGATTCTTTCAACTCATCCAATTATCAAACTATGTGACAGAAGAAGTAACCAGCATAATAATACAAATTCATGAAATGATTCAGAAACTCTTGAATCCTGTATGACAATCATTATGGTGTATCCAACTCAAATCTTCACACAAAATCCACAAAATAATAACAATTATCATAATTTATTATTGATATATATATATATATATATATATATATCAAGTGATACTGAATTACTTTTATTTTTTTGTTGTATTCATGACAAATAAATACAAAACTGATGTGATATTTTACTATTATGATTGTTCCTCTTTTCCATTCTGGAGACTAAAGTTCAATTTCAATAACTTTAATTGGTTTGTTTCAAAGTTTCAATAACTTTGATTGGTTTGTTTCAAATTGTGCTTTTGCAAAATTTAACTTTTTTTGGTAAGGGATCTGTCAATCCAACTAGAAAACGTCTAATGTACGAGACAAATATGACAGCGTTCTCATCAGCTAAACTTAAACTAAAACAAATTAGGGACAAAAAAAGTATTAAAGCACACAGAGATCATAATAAGGTTATTAACAAAACTCCTCCCCAAGAGTCATGTCATTAGACAACATTGTGCAACAACAGACAAAAGAGAAAAAAGAAGCCTACATAACTGATAACACCATTGTGAAGACAACAAAAACAACACATTTGAGTCTCTTACTTTCAACCCCATAAAATAAGGAATTTTTAAGCTTTTGCATACAAAGGATACAGTGGCCAGTGATGACTTTTAGAAAGTTAGAAACAGCACTAATATGGCTAGTAATTGAATTTTAATGAGCTGCTTCTATTAAGTAATATATTCCAATCTTTAGCTTGTACATATCAATTGGGGGAAGGAAGAATAACAAAAGGAACAGATAGAAATAGAAATGAAAAACATTCAGAAGTTAATGTTACAGGTGATTCTTTAGTACATTACATGGATAGGATAGTCTTTGCAATAAATAGGAAGAAAATAATTAAATTATGCTATCCAGGGGCAGGGGTGGAGGACATAGCTGGCACTTGTGATATAGTAAAGGATTTAGCTTTTGAAAAAAAAAAAAGAGTTAGAGGTGATCTGATTGAGTTGTTTCAGATTGTAAAGAAAACTGATAATGCTGATACATCATATTTTTCATAGTTAATGGTGACAATAGTAAGAGTAAGGGACACACGTACAAATTTTGGCAGGGTAGTTGTCATCTTTAGCTTAGACAGCTTTATTTTTCTAACAAGGTTGTTGGCCTTTGGAATGTGTTGATGTAGTAGATGCAAATAATTTAAAAGAGTTTAATGGAAGGCTTGATAAATATTTAAATGATAAGGACTGCCTTTGAGCATATTTTATTTTAGAGTTTAATTCAGTGGATGGAATGGCCTAGATGATGAAAAGATCCCTTGTTGTCCTTATGATTTATGTATATGTATAGATTATTACGAGGGGATGAATTGCAGTATTTAGATGGTTTACTTTTTTATTCAGTTTCACTAGTTACAGTTAACATTTTGAAAGGTTGTAAAACTGCTTGCTAAGCTATATAATATAGTCTATATTATGATGCTTTTCCCAAGAGTTTCATTAAAAACAAAATGTAATCTTTTATCAACTTACATTTCACTTCATGTTTAAGAAGCACAACTACTGAGACAACGAACTTTTGATTGTATATCTAGTCAATGTGCTCCAAATAACCCTTCATAACTAAATACTTCACTCTAGATATGTTGATTTTGAATTAGTGAATCAAACAAACAAATCATTCAACTTGACTCAAACTGAACTGCATCAAATGAATCAAGTCGATGAAATGAATTGAACTGTCCAAAGCTATTGACAATAGCAATGCCACAGTTTATCGTAGACCCAGCACTCAGACTGTTGTTCATGTGTTGTGTTAATGTTATTTATATCAAGTAGCACAAGCAATTAGCAGTGGCTGGAGTGGAACAGGTTTTTATTTTTAGGCAATTTAAAACCAAGTACTGTCCATTACATTTTAATGCATTATGAGATAGATGTTGAAATGATCCTTTGTAATTTTATGCATTTCATGGAATTAGTGTCCGTTACAAAGGGAAAAGTCACAAGTACTGGATAATGGAAAAGTCCTTAGTTGTGTAATCACTTCAGTATGCTTACTCCCATGGCTTTAATTTAAAGTGAAGTTTAACTTACTTTTAACTTTAAGGCTAATCATATGATACTTCATAATATCAATGTATATAAAGACAGGAGTCAGTATAAAATTAATTTTCTAGTATATCTCGTAGTAAATATTACTTACTCACATGAAACACACAAAAAACAAGACATAAATGATTAAATAAACGCACCACAGAGTATATTAACACAAAATAGAATACATTTCCATACCGTACACTTTCACACCACGATTGGGTATGGCCCTCTACTGGCAGATGTTAAATATTAAGTCATCGATGCGCTTACTACATAAAACAAATAAACAAAAAGTTGCATGTTTGTGCACAAAACTAAATTCTTAAAAGTGAAATTCAAGATAAATTCACTATCTGCCCCTCAGAACAAAATTACAAGATCTAGCAATGGACAAATTCAAATAAAATAAATCCACTATTATGCAAGTAAAACACAAAATAGGATAATTAAAATATCATTTGTTCTGAAAAAGACACAAAAGTGGAATTTTTAAAGGAAAATTGTGAGATGGCGAATTCTACATTTATTTTGATATGATTTTATTTACCGCTCATTCATTATTCCTATTCTTTAGTCCAACTATGAAGTTTTAGTTATATTAATTAAAGCTCTAATTCCTCTTCCATCTTAAGCACATTGATTTTGAGTATATATTATGAAATTGACACCAACTTCCCCTAGCGGCGATATATAGATGTTGAGAAAGATTATATGGATTTATAGCTAGTCACATGAGATGTAACCTCATGATCTAACCACTAAATAGTAGCCTTTCTTGACCTTAAAAACGGATTAGTTCACGAGATATAGTTAAAAAGATTTATTGCTAATTATTTATCGATATTGTTCTTGATATTAAGTTTAATTTTGAAACATTATTTAATGATGAATTAGGTTATTCTCTTTTTCAGATTTTTTCCCTAATTCTTTTGATATTTATTAAAATTAATTATATTGAAAGTTATGTTGTATTGTTTATTAACGTGTGTACGTAGACATGGCCAGGCGCAGGTTTACTAAGTGTTTTCTGCAAGTGATGAAATTTGTATTCTAGTTGTTTGAAAGTGTTTGTTTTTCTGGTTTATTTAATATATTTATTTTGTTTGACCCTAGTTGTAGCGACATTTTGTTTAGTCAGCTACAAAATGTCTGCAGAAATAGCTACCAAAAGTTTTGGGAATATCTCGCTCAGTAGACATAGCACAAAAAACGTAAATGAAAAAAAAAAAACACACACTAGAAAAGAACATCAAACGGTGGGCTAAGTTTTGGATGCTGTAGCCCACAACATATCAACCGTCAAATGTTCATCGTCTGCAGTCTGTTGTGGATATGATAGTCAGCCATGTTGGAAGGTCCAAAACAATAGAGGATGAGGGAGTCGTAAATGATTATATATTATCTGTCAATTTATAAAAATACTTTATAATATTATTCAGCAATGTCGCACAATAATAAATACTGTATTGTACATGCAAAATACAAATTAAGTTGTTTGTCGTGTACTACAAAACCGCATATGTCTGCTTTGTGATAGTACATTTGATAAAGCACGGGTTTAGTACGTGCTGCGTAGAAAAAGACTAAATAAAAAAAAATCGTTGTCAGCAAAATCATGGGGAACACAATCATATTTTGACTCCAATTATCAGGCACATGGCCCCGGCCCCACGTTCTCGAGATCAACAGAAGTTACTCCTAAAAATGCAATAAATGGTATTAAATTTAGCAACACAGTAAAAACATTTTTGTTAGCAAAAACTAGATAGATGGAGTGTGAGATTTGAATAACAATTATAACACACAAATTACTATAAAATAAGGAAAACTTTAGCTTTGACTAAACGTGAACTATCTTTTAATTCGGAGAAAAACAGTGTTTGTAAATTAAACAAAAATTTACATAACAGATTACCTGTGCTGTGCTCACCACGGGCATTGAAAGCTGGTTTTAGCGTTATAAGCCTTCAGACTTCCCGCTAAGCTTGGTGGAATGGTAAGATGTGATCTTATCAAAGTTTACAAGCTCACCCTAGAAATCAATAAGAAAAGGCCCCTGATTTCTTTGTGCTATAATACGACGAGAGGATACAAGTTTAAGATTTGGAAAAGACAGGCTAAGCTCCAGCACTCAGTAACTGTGGCTCCAATTAAACCAGCTTTTTCTTTTTTAACAGGGTGATTGGCTGGTGGAATGAGTTTCCGTCAGGATTTTGGAAACACTTCGGAGGAATTTAAGAGAATCGATGATTCCAGGTAAAATAAAGGGTTAATTTAAAGTGTGCAAGGAAAATCTTGAACTGTTGAAGAATTAAATTGTCTTTTTTTCGTCACTGCGTTGCGATATTCTATTATTATTAAAGATTACAAGAGTTTAGTGTTTTAGTTACATTAGTAAGGATTAAACATATTAACGTTTTATTATTGCAGATACAGCTGGGATATGGGGCATATGTTTTCCACCATTTTTAGTAAGGCTTAGCATGGCCTGGTGTTTAGAGCACTCGACTCGCAATCTGCAGGTTCGAATCCCGTCATCAATTATGTTAACTCCTTCTGTCGTGGGAGCATTGTAGTGCAATAGTCAATCCCACTGTTTTGTTAGCAGTGGATGATGTTGACTAGCTGCCTTCCTTTTAGTCTATCACTTCAAAATTACGATTGTCTAGCACAGATAGTCCTTGAGTACCTTTGTACAAAATTCAATAAACAAACAAATCATCTTTAGTAACAGAGGATTTTTTAAACATTTTCTTTTAAGTTTCTTTCTGTGCACTTTTAGACATAAACAAGTGGTCCAGGAAAACTATTGAAAATATTTCATCTTTGTTGCCTTTCTGTCTTAGTTCACCATACAAGTTATCTATTCTGATTGAAAGGATGTTGCAGTAAAGTAGCAATATCCATGTCGAAAGGTCAGTGACTGCAATGTTCTTTGTTGGCTGAGTGGATGATGTCTGTATGACGATGATGACAAATGCTTATTGCAAAAAAAATAAAAAATATTCAAAATTGTTTTTATCTATTTGTCATTAAGTACAAAGCTGCACAATGGGCTATCTGTGTTGTACCCACCACAGATATAAAAAAAAAACAACCGGTTTTTAACATTATGTGCCCACAGACTTACCATCGAACCACTGGAAGGCTGGTAGATTGGAAATTGTAAGTTTGCTCAGTTATACTTGGTTTTCATTGCAACAAGTCCTCCAGATAATCATCTTGAAGGAAGAAAGTTGACAATCCCTTCACCAATTCAGTAGATAAGGCTGTCTAAGTGTCTACGCAAGCACCCATACTATTTTGCAAAAAAGATTGCTTTCACTTTCTGTCAAATATGTCCAGTCTGTTTATTTCTCACACTGCTTAAAACTATCAGTTTTCATAGTCAGATTACTCTGTTTCTGTTCAAATTTCCTGTTATCAAGCAAACCTATTATAATATTTACGAGGAAATCAATTCTCCTGATAAAACTACACTAGTAAATCTCAAGCTACAACATTAGACATAATAGCGTCAAGAGCCTTACAATTAATCCACTGTTGATTTTAGGTTGTAGCACTAGGTTATAAGATATTAGTTATTAAATATTAGATTAAAGAATTGCCACATGTATTAGCTAAGTAAGAACGCAAATTTATTTAGTTTTAAAATTAAAAATAGTGTTTGTATTATTTGATAGTTGCTGAGAATACATTATTATATATTTCAGTTTGTAATTAGAGATGAACATCATAGCTATGGTACTGGTAACTAATATTATCGTCATAACAAGGGTATTTTAGTGTTAGATTAGTATAGAAACTGTGAAATAATTTAATTTGAGATAAATGTACAATTAATGGGTGTGTAGACTGGTGATGGAGTACGAAGATGAGTCAATTTCAATATGATTAGTTCAGGGATAAGCGAGGTGAAATTTACAGGGTTTCATAGTTACCAGGAATGAGATGTGTTTAAGGACTGTAGGCTATATTGCAACTTTCAAGAGGCTCAAAAAGTTACAATACATTAAACTTGCAGAGCTTGCTTATTTGAGGATAAGTTAAAAATGGCTTTGGTGAAGATTTTGCTATTATGTGTTGAAAAATAACAAATTAGGAGCAGAAGAAAAGGAATTAAGACTGGAAAATGTACAAAGTTCTTTGAGGGTGAATGAAAGCGCTGGGTTATCAAGGGTTTGCAATAATAATAATAAAGTTAAGGTTATAGATACAAGTTCAGTTAACATTCAAATACCAGTCTCTAGTACATTTGAGTTTTTGGCTGCTTGCAGGAGGAACAAGATGATCAAGGGGTTCAGATAATGGGGGAGGGGGGGGGACACTTTCATTAAGTTTACCGATAAAGTTATTTCTAGTGGGGAATAAAAAACACACCTAAAACTAGAATTTGCTTATTGGTTTTTAAAGTAGAGGACATCACAGAGCATTTTGACAGATTAGTTGCTCAAACTGTGAAAAGTTCTTTTTGTCAATACATTAGACTGACAGCCCTTGTACATACTTTCAATAAAAATAAACCATAAAATGATGACAACAACGTTCCCACATATACAATAATTTTATAGCATACAATTAAAAGAAACACTCTTTACATGATTTAGTGGACAACATGGTCCATCATCTTCATGAGGCTCAAAAAGATATAGTATGCTAAACTTGCAAAGACTGGTTATTGGAGGATAAGTTAGGGATAGCTTTGGGGAAGACTTCGTTATCATAGGTTGGAAAAAGCAAAAATTAAGTGTCAAAATAAAAGAATCCTTCAAATTAAGTTTAAGACAAAATAATGTCTAGAAATCTGTATTTGGAAAATCTCACAGTAATTTTTGAATCACAGCCTGTCCTATGGTGAGAATATCCTGGCTTTATATATAAAACAAAACAACACAAAGGCAGGTTGCTCATGACACGCACCTCCCTCATATGACCCAAGATCACTCTTGCTGCAGCACAGGGGTGAGGAAGCCCCAGCCCATTAACTGGTTCAACAACAGAAAAGAAAGATATCTATTTTATGACATTACAAGTGAAGTTAGAACTACCTTTTCTGCAAGAAAACATGCTTAATGACCAATAAGTGATTCTGGCTGTGTGTACAACTACAGTTAAGGAGAAGTTGCTTACCTGATTGACTTTATATACCAACCAAACTGATTAATACTACAGTATGTAGTATGGGTTTGTATGTACCCAATTCTGACCAAGTTCAATGGAAAAAAAATATATATAATACACAAGAACATATCATAATCTTTATAGTCAAACAAAACGCAGGCAAGAATTACGGAGTGGAATTCAAGAGAAGAAAAATGAGAGAAACTTCAATAATTCTCCATCACCAGTTTTTTTTTAAAGCTAAAACTTTCAAAGCAAAAGATAATTGACTGAAAATCTGCATTCTGAAAAATTCTCACAATATCTCCTGAATTACAATCTGTTCTACACGAAGGCTAGCCTGGTTTTATATATAAAACAAAACTCAAATAAATGGAGGTTGCTCACTGTTTGCTCCCGAAACAAGACTACTCTTGTTTGTACACAGGGAGAATCCCCAAGAAATTACTCAGTTTACTAATAGGAAATACACCTGTCTTTTATAGGATATTATGAGTGAAGTTATAGACATCTTTCCTGCAGAAAACACACTTAATGACCAATAAGAGAGACCTGGATCTGTGTACAACTAAAGTAAGAAGTTGAGTTGCTTATTTGAGTGACTTTGAGTGTTAAAGAAAAGAAAGGATGTATTGAGAGTAGAAATAACTCAAACATTTATAACATTAAAAGTACGGTTTTCTCAAAAACGTACAGTTTTACTTCTACAGAATGCTAAGTTTTATAGAAGATGAAAAAATTATTGTTATTAAGCACAGAGTTGCACAATGCACTGTGTTCCATCACAGAAATTGAACTATGAATGCTAGTGGTAGAAGCTCTCACGCTTACAACTAAGCCAGCAGGTCGACCTGATTGAAATATAAAAACTCGCAACCTATATTTTATTCTTACAAGTTGTGCAATCTTTAAAAATTAACTCCATTTACAAATAATAAACAGCCAATGCTGATACAGGCCTACATAGCAACATATAGGTTGTGGTTAGAGGTGTTAGGCAGACTAGATAGTGTTTTACAACATCTGCCTGGAATGCAAAAGCAAACATTTCTGTTTCTCTGCTGTAGCTTACAGTGCAGATGCTTGAGTGTCATCCACATCTTCAAATCCGAGACATCTAGGTTAGACCATTAAGTGTAGTAATAGTGTTAACACACAAAATTCGTTAGTTTTGATGTAACAAGACAAACAATTAAAGTACAACATTTTCTTCCACAACTTTTTTTTTTGTCTGTGTGTGTGTGTGTATAACACTGGAAGCAATAGTACTAGTCTATACTAGAATATGAAATCATTTCACCATTGTGGCTGGATCAACTGCAACTTTCAGGGCTTATAACACTAAAATGCATGGTTTGATTTCTGCAATAGGCATAGCATAGTCCATTTATAACATTTAGAAAAGAAGAATCCTACATAAAAAAGTAAAAGCAACACTATAATAATATACTATTTAAAAATCTGAGAAACAAGTTTTAGTTTTCATTACAGAATTCAGCATTTCTTTTCAGGGGGGGCAAGAAAGTCATAATTAACAAACTACGTTTCATCTGAGCTGGGATTATTTTAAGCAATGTTAGTACAAGTTTCCTTGCTCAACAGTAAATGTTGTACTGCCTTTGTTTTTCTATGATAAAGTTAATTTGTTTTCACTGAATTATATTTATCACACACACACACTCACTAAGAATAGAATCTCTACTAATTTTATAACAAGAAATCTAAGGACAGTATATTTTTAAGAAATAATTAGTTTATTTAGTGTTAGTAGAGTTGTCTTGTGAAAATGTGTAAAAAAACCCATAGAATTACATTAATAGATGTAGTATTTTTGGCTTCTTATAGGTTTCATACTTCATTGTGTATATGATACATTTTTGTGAACAACGGTTTAGGTTTCAAAATGAGGGCTCGTAATATTAAAAATTGGTTTTTAATACCTGCAATGAGCATACCACAGATAGTCCATTATGTAGCTTTGCTCTTAATGAGAAACAAACAAACATTAAATCTGATATACGTTATTTTTAAACCATTTTAAGTAGGTCAGAGTAGCTGGTGAGAATGTGCTGTTGGGTTAATAAATATACATTCAAGACTGAACTTCGTATTAGGTAATCCTACAGCTATGAACAGGTGAGTTCTCTACAGATAAATACAATACCTTTTACTGGTTGCTGTTTTTCAGGTAATGTAGTTATTCATCAATAGCTTAAAGAACCTATGCATGTTTCCTTTACTCAAAAAAGGCAAAAACAAAGTATTTTTTGCCGAATTGTTGTTGACCTATACTGTACAATATTTTATTATTTATGACCCTTTGTAAAGATTGTTTTTACCAAAACAAAAACTATTTTCAACAGTACTTCTCATTTTTTGTATTAAATTTGTGGAATTTAATCACAAACCTCAAATGAAAATCTTATTCTTACAGATGATTTTAGATACAATTTAGTATTTTCAATCTAAACAATACTCTATGTGACACAAACTAACTGGAGATCAGACACCCAAAGGATCAAACAAAGGTTATGTCTAATTAGAATTGTTGTCCAGAGGCAACAAATAAACAACACTCACTACCTATGTAAATACTTTTAACCAAAAAGCAGGATTGACTGTCACAATTATAACATAACCAAAGTGTAGAGCACGTTATGTGGCTTAAACCTTGGACCTTCCAATCTAAAACACTACATATTTGGTATGCTATGTCCAATTGGATATTGGAATTAATAGCTGTGTAGTTTTCTTTTGTACTCGTAACTGTATAGCTTAGCTAATCAGTTTACTTTCTGAAACACAACAAAAAATTGCAAATCAATTAAAAACACCTTACAACAAACAAAATCTACCAAAGTTTAAATAAAAAAATTAAAACAATCAAATTAATTAACATTAATAAAAGATGAGAATTTAGTGCCCTTTTGTTCATACGAATTTTTGAAAATCTAAATTTTCCACCCTCATCTTCCACTGACCATTCTGAAAACAAAAAATTATGCTTTAATAATAAAGAATTAACAAATGAAAAAAGTAACTGTGTTGAGTACGCTTTCACTCGCATGTTCTGACTAAAATTATTTTAACAGACAAAAACAGAATGTTAAAATTGTTTCTTAAAATATCATCAGAAAGCAGCAGAAATCGGATAACAATTTGGCAAATTACATAAATTCATTAACACATTTTAAAGCTAGAAATACTTGAGCATTAAATTCAATGGTCAGTTACAAACCTAATATATTACCTAACTGTGTGAATGTGCATGTAAGCATATACCCATGTTTTGATATTCCAAAACTATTTGTTACTTTGTCCAAAAGTAACAAAAAAAATAATATTTTTCTCCTTAAAAAATGACATTGGTCCTTACATAGGAATATTTTAGCCAACATTTTAACACAAAATGTATCAATCACAAACAAATGAATGGCTGCAGTGAAACAACCCCCTAGTCAGTATTCTTCCAAAGCTCCTCATCTATTGTTGGAAAACTTTTGATGAAATGTAAAAGTAGTTTTTTTTCTTCTCATTTTAACAATTACATGTTATCACTTTCTGTTCAAGAATTTTATTTCAACATGTCAGTTTTCCTCAGCGTTATGTTCTCCACCATTTCTTACAAACTCTACCAGTACAAAAAATCCACTACAAAAGAAGATCAATCATTTTTCACTTTATTATTATTCAGTACAATTGATGATATAATTGTCAGTTTTAAATTATCTTTAGCAATACACATTTTGTTATTTGTCTATGCACATAATATGGTATTACAATAAGCAAAAACTAAACAAACCACAGAAACCTAATAAATTATACTAGCCAAAGAGAACATACTACATTGGATTAAGAAATGTATTACACATTGATTAATATATTGACTAAAAGGAAATAAAAAAAAGTAAGCCCACAAAGTGTATTTACAATGAGCAATAACTGAATTTACAAAAGTAACAATAATACTTTTATGTTTATTACAGAACAATGAGATTGAGCCCATTTGCTCTGCCCTAGACACCTAATACACCACACTTGAGAGTACAGTATTAGGTTTCCAGGTTTTGAAACATGTAGAGTTAAACAGTAACCAAGAAAAAGACACACTTTGGTATACCAGTTCTTAGTTTCATTTCGAGAAGGAATTTCATACTGGTTAAGTAACTCAAATTACACACAAACTTACCTCATATTAGTTAAGAATTAAACAATACTACTCCACTCCATTAGCAAGTAAAAAAAAATACAAATACAAATAAACAATTTATAAATACCATTAAAGTTTTCCAACTACAAAAAAAGATAATTTACTCAAAATTTCTTACATAAGAAACGCAACTGTAAGATAAAAATTTATCTGATTATGATATTGTGCATAGCAAGTATAATAAAAAGATACACTTCAGCATAATATCAATATGCTAATATATATTTCTTTACTGGTTCTGCTTTCTGATAAACAGCATAAAAAATGTACTATTTCAAACATAAAGAAAAAGTACCACTATAAATAATGTGAACATACACTGACATTATATAAGAATGAAGAAAAAATCCAGCAAAACTAGGAAAAAAATTCTTATTATAATTTGAATTGGTAATCCTTTTTAACACAACTACTTCTAAGTATGTACTAGTGATTTATAAAGTATGCAATTGTGTACCAACTCATCTACTTTTATTTCTAGCCATAAAAAAATTAATATCCTTTAATTTGAGTTATCACCACCTAGTGTTCAAAACAACAATCGTATTTGCTTCTTATGGTGCTGTCTTTACTAGAATGTTTGATACTTATCATACAGTTATCAGAACCCGATTCTGGTGATTTTTTTAATCAATATTTGTGTGTATTGTAATTTTTTGAAGTGTCACTGCAGTTTTCAATGTTATGAAATAAAAATTGTAAGTACTTGCCATGCTACTAAATTTGCCCTTAAGGTGCAGCCACTTTAAGTACAAATTTAAACACTTCTGTTATGTACTAAATATTCTTTTAAACTCATGAAATACAAATTGAATTACTTCAAACAAAACAAATTTAATATATATGGGCTGAGGTTAGGGAGATAATTTCTGTAAAAATCAGTTCGATGAAAAAGTTTGGAACCAAAACTAACGAGATTTAAAATCTATATTGTGTTTAAAAAAATTCATTTGATTTTTATTTTTTTTACGTGACACAAAACATGTTGATAGTTTTAACATGAATATAAACAATTAAAACACCAACATATATATACACTGTTAAAATAAAAAACTGATAATATTTGGTATGTCTTTGAAAATGCAAGATGCTTAATTGTTTCAAAATTCATAAAATACCTAATATTTTATATGATCATTCAAATGTTCAAACGTACCATCATTATATTCCATAGTGCTGAGTGGATGTATGTATTTCATAACAGAAGGCAGTGATTATGTTAAACCCAACTAGGTTTTCAGGCATAACCTGAATTTAAGTACACCAAGTTCTTAATTGACAGCAGAATTATTGACTTCCAGACATATAATGAAACGATTCTATTTTCTTTAATATTTCTATTTTATTTTGTATTTCTAAATGCAATTGTGTACATCTTGCACTATGGTAAATATAAAACCCAGGTCACACACGAGCTGATAATGACAAGTTCACGGGTCCTACTGGCAAGAAATAAACCAAAAACTGTCCTAAAGACAAGTAGTGCAAAGGGACAACAAAAGTGAACTAGTCGTGTGTGTTAGTTTCCCACAATATGCTAGGTTCTTAGTTGGAACATCTTTGTGTCAACTGCTACTCTGAGAGACATCAGAGTATAATACCAAGTTTGGTACCAAGAAATGATCACCATACATATAAACCTACCCTATCTAGGTTGAAAACAAAACCAGTACCAATCATGCAGTGAACTAAACACACTACTAGTTTTAAGAAACCTAGTAATTACAAATGAACATGCTGACTTTTCTACACATTGGCAGCTTGAGGCATGACAGTGGCTGTCTAAATATGATTACTTATAACTTGAGTGAGAATAATTTCTTACATTAATGGATAAACAATACTTTCAAATTACAGGAACATCCTCAGATTTTGAGCAGAAGTTAAGACTACTGGTCATCAAGCAAGAAGGTGCTATGTTTCACTACAGTCTACCCAACAAACGTAAATAGCAAATCACAGTTATAGAACAGCAGAAAGGCAAGACAAGCTTACAGATAAATAAGCAGTATATATATAAAAACAAGTTTAATAATCAAAGTGTGTTAAAAGTAAAATGCTATTTAAAAAACACCAGCAGCAGAAAAACAAAAGTGTAATGAGTGCAAATAAAATTTGTGTACAATAGTAGGTTAAGACAAGTTTTCAAAATGTTGAAACAGTGGAGCAAAACTACAAAAGCAAGCATGTAAGTGGGCCATGGGTAAAGCCCAGCAAAATCAACCTGGGGTTTGGGGACTGCCAAACATAACCCTACTACCCCACCATCTCTCAAATATTTCCTGGAATCTGCACAGATCTTGTCATTGAAAATATCTTGACCAGCCCTTGAAATAAGCCACATTATGCAGCAAAAACTCAATACTGATCACATGGCCAGACCTTTAGCATATTATTCATTTGCAGCTTATGAGAATGCTGTTTAATAAAACAGTGTGGTATCTAAAAAAGCTACTACTCATAATGAAAAGTTGTGTATTCTAATGACAGAAATATTGCTGCACAATATACACCAAGTTACATACACTGTGAAAACCCTACTTGTTGCAATACAGCCGCCATTTAGAAACATTGTTAATGATGTAGGGATTCCATCTGGTGGATATGGAGGCCCTTTTTTCTTTCAGCATCATTCATTGGCCAAATACAGTTGAAGCAAGACAACTGATTAATCATATTCAGACTCTCATCATCATCATGGTTCATTGAATTTTGTGCAAGGTTATTTTAGGGCTAACTGCACTAGCCAACCCTAATTATGAAGTAACAAAGTAGAGGGAAGAAAGTTAGTCAACATCACTTACGACCAACTTTTAGGCTTCTCTTTACCAAAAAATAGTGGGATTAACCTTCACATTATCCTGGAGTCACTTGGTTCTTGAACTTATGTTTACCAACAGAGGAGCTGTGTGGCCAATGCTATTGGTATTGTAATCAAGACTAAGCAAAGATGTTTGTGAAAGATAAATTCTCTATATTACACAAGACTGAAACAGAAGCCAAAAATAACAGAGTAATTAACTCTTACATGTTAAATATCAAATAACTAAAAAAGATTCAGAACAAACAAAAAACTGCTGTATTACAAGTTACAGCTTTTACGCTTAGGAAGAACATTTTTAAAACTGGTACTTCCTTAATGTAAGTTAAAATAAACCAATACTTATAATCAGTAAGTAAACTTAAAATGAAACTATTAAAAAATAACAATACCTGAATTGAAACCTACTTGCTATATTACCTGTCTGGTACCTCTGACTTAGAATTGAGCTTAGCAGTTGTGTTTAACAAAACAATAATTCTTCTTTACAAAAGTAATAAGCTAAGACTATAATGCAGTGATAAGAGTTTATGTATATACAGACTTCCATCTAATATCTAAACTCTTAACACAAATAATGAACAAGATTTTTGATAAATTTTAATCTTTTATTCCTTTACAATTGTAAAACAATTAATTACTTTGCATGTGCCAAGGTATCCAATTATTAAACTAAATATTCAAACAATTTAGGTAGTAGTTTAAAGAAAGTTAGTCAACACCACTTACCACCAACTTTTAGGCTTCTCTTTACCAAAGAATAGTGGGATTAACCTTCACATTATCATGGAGTCACTTGGTTCTCAAACTTATGTTTACCAACACAGGAGCTGTGTGCCCAGGTATCCAATAATTAAACTAAATATTAAAACTATTTAGGTAGTACTTTAAAAATACAGATGATCTTAATAATAATTTTTGTTGTTCTAGGAATTTCAAATTTCATCAAAAAGAGGGAAATACTCTATTTTATTTCTAACTCTGGTTTAGAAGAAGAAACGAAAGGTACTGGATGATCAGGATTTACAACTAGAGGGATATACTGCATTTTATATCTAACTCAGTTTTAGAACAAGAAATGAAAGATACTGGATGATCAGGATTTACAACTAGAGGGATATACTGCATTTTATATCTAACTCAGTTTTAGAACAAGAAATGAAAGGTACTGGGTGATCAGGCTAGCTAGAAATCTGGTCTGACTAGCCAATTAGAAAAGCGGCAGTGGATTAAAATTTACACCACAACACTGTCATTTGAGAGTCAAACTAGTCCAAACATAGGTTTTTTTAAATATTTTATTAAATACATATATTTACTTTTACATCATTTATCTACAGTATTGTGTTTGTTGTGATACAAGTTTAGCAAATATTGTATGTCAAACCGACATGTCTTGGAGATAGTACATAAATTTGTTCTCCTGAATATTTCAATAATCAGGCACATATATAAACATTCCAACCAAGTCAACATCTTAACTTAATTAAAATTTAACCTGATTAGTTAACATCCCTTTAAGCTGTCTTTGCACGGCTTAGACTTAAGCCTAAACCTCTACCAACATACTCAGTTGTGACATCACAACTTCTGGTTAGGCTTAGATTCCAGCCCACACCTCTACCAATATATTCAAATGTGACATCACGATGGCTGGTCAGGCTTAAACCCCAGCCTAAACTTCTACCAACATATTCAATTGCGACATCATAATTTCTGGTCAGGCTTAGACCTCAGCCTAAACCTCTACCAATTACAGGAGGCAGGCTCAAACTTTATTATCAGTGTAATTTTACAAAAACAGGTGATAACTACCTATATTGTGACTGGAAAGATTAAAATCAAAAGGTCTAAGTAGCACACAGTGAAATCTGAAATGACCTGTCCATTTTAAGAACAGTGTTTCTGCCTCCCAAATTTTTGAAGTAAAATTATCAACTGGGCAATCTTAGAAACATGTTTGCTACATAACCTTCTGGTTGATGTAATTTTTGAAGCATAGACTTCATTCTGAAGTTAAGCAATTTTCCAATATTGATATCTTTAATAACAACTTCTTTTAACTATACAAGGTGAAATACAAAAGGCACTGCCATGTTGTATGTATAATACACATAACAAAAAAAAAAAAAAGAAAGAGAGAGAGAGAGAGAAAGAGAAAAACATAGTAGCCTAAAATTGAATTTTTAAAGACTGCTTTGCATAATTGTCTGATAATACTATTAACTCTCTACACCTACTGTAGATTGTAAGTTAACATCTGCTGGTATTGCTTCTTGTTTTTCCTTTCCTAGTGTTAAGGGCTCAACATCTGATACATGCTCTTCTTCTTGACTTTCATCCGTTGTTCTCTCTTGTCCTCCAACAGTTATGCCCTGCAACAGTAATTATTCAAGAAGTCTTAGAGATTTGAACAATACTGAATTATATTAGCAATTAATCAATATTTAATCAGGAACTTAACTCCTTAAACCCGATAGGATACTGCCAGTGTATAGCTGAAAATCTTAATTTATGTAACATAACACAATGTCTTGGAACAACATGGGACCTATTGGTCCATCTCAACTGTCCCATCCTCTAAACTAAACCTATTAATAAATAAATCAAAAATAAATAATAGAATAAAAAATCATAAAGCCAGCCCTTATCATTCATATATTTATCAATCTTTCTCTTAAACTCACTTAAATTTACTGCCTCCATAACATCTGAAGGCAATCCATTCTAATGGCCAATCACCCTGTTAGAAAAATGAAACTGTCTTAGCTGAAGATGACTCTCACACTGCCAAAATTTATATTTGTGTCCACTAGTCTCTCTATTCTCACTGATGGTGACAGTGTACGATAACATTTATGTCTCTTTGGCTAAAAACTAATCCAAACCCTGTTATTATCCACAAAATTAAGAAAATTGAAAGTTTATAAGGTATGGTGATAATTATTAGAAAATCATGAAAAGAATACTGGCAGAATGTGTGAAAAAATTATGGGTTTAAAGAGTTAAGTTGCTCTAAGAAGACCAACTCTCCTCAGATAAAGTACTACCCTAAATAAACACTCAGATTTCATGTTGAAGTGCTAATGGAATTTTAGTATGAAAATATACAACTATTTCAATTTATCAGAGAACAGAGTCAATTTTATAAATATACATTTTATTTTAGAAATATTCTGAGAAATAGAACATAATAATTAATATTAATGTCTTGTGAGAGCAAGTTACCTATTTAAAGCAAAACTACAAATCAACCTGGTAATGAATATAGGTAATTAAGTACTTTTTCTTATGTTCTTACTTATAAAGATTAGAATGCATTACTTCATCAGTTGGGTAACCTTGCTGTTAATGATATTTTCTTTAGTCCAAGCATAATTCTCAACAGATTATTGGCATAATCTTTGTTCAATAAGTTTGTGTGAACAGGTTTATATGATGTACGAGAAAGTGAAGTCCAATTCTTTCGAAACAGGAGACAGATTTTTAAGTTTGTAATGTGTGAAAAAAAAAAGCCTTATTTTAGCTCCAAAATTCAAGACCAAACAGAATATGTTTGTAGTTTCACACGGATCAGAAAGATCTGTACAGGCTGACAACTTCTTCCCTACCTGTGATAATGGTGGAGGTACTATTGGTATAGCTGCTTTCGGTCGCTTCTGAGGTGGCGTTCGCAGCAGCTGTTGTTGGCTCTGTGTGTTATAATAGGTTATGCCTCCACGATATATTTCTTGAGACTGGATTAAACCATTACAAAAAGCAGATATTTTATGAATTTATATTACAGCTCACAGATATCGTGAAACAATAATCACTGAAGAGTTTTCCTCGTCAGTTGAACTATTTAATAACACTCAGAAATAGAACATGTTTTATATTAGAAAATTTTGTCCATTCCCAATTTAACAGAAGTATTATTGTCAAATTATTTTTTCCTTTTTAGTGCTAATAACAAATTAAGGCCTAGTTTGATGAGACCAAGAGAGAGAGAGAGAGAAGGTCAATTCACAAAAAATGAACAGGTCTAGTTACATATTTGAGACAGTAGTGACTTTAATTTAAACATTTTTTTCTCTGTTACTGTTATTAAATAAAATCATTTTTACAAGGTGTAAAAGTGAGCTCTGAATATACCCAAAATTAAAGACATAATGCCCAAGTGCCATATGTCAAGTAACTACAAAAATTATTTCAATAAAGGTGTTTCTAAAAGCCTGAAAATATAATTATAAATTTATAGATGCTTACTAGAGGTTTGCATGAAGTATTTGGTGTTTCATATATTATATATGCAAATATATATATTATATATATATATATATATATATGCAAAATAAATAAATAAAAACATTATCACAGAAACTATGTTAAAGTGTTTCACAGATATTAGTCATTCCCAGACTCGACTGGCTGTTGTTGATGGAAAAAAATAATTCCACAAAAATGTATTGCTAAAGTAGTCAGAAAATATGAGAAAACCTTTCAGACATACCTTAGTTGTTAAAATACTGTACTTTCTAATCATCAGTTGATATTTACAACCCTTGGTAAACCATCATAGATCAATGAAACAGTTTGGTTGTTAAAGTACCGTATCTTTCTGATCATCAGTTGATATTTACAACCCTTGGTAAACCATCATAGATCAATGAAACAGTTTGGTTGTTCAAATACTTTATCTTTCTGATCATCAGTTTATATTTACAACCCTTGGTAAACCATCATAGATAAATGAAACAGTTTAGCTGTTAAAATACTGTACCTTTCTAGTCATCAGTTTATATTTTCAACCCTTGGTAAACATCATAGATAAATGAAACAGTTTAGCTGTTAAAATATTGTACTTTCTAATCTTCAGCTTTTTATTTTTTAAATTGTTTTTATTATTATTAAAAATCATTAATTATTAAAAATTATTAAAATCTAGCCTGAAACGAAACCCTTTCCACGATACAAAACCTAAAGACATGTTACATGCCTAAATCAGTAATTGTCAATCTTGTTTCTACTTTCACCTACGAAAGCTACACACTCCAACAAACAAATAAAAGAAAAATGTATTTATTTTACTGCCTTTATACTATAGCAACCTTATGGTGGGTTTTCAAAATATTTATAATTATTTAACCCCTTCTTAGGTTTGCCAGTGATAACCCGGACACTCTCCAAGTTTCAAAAAATATTTGCCCAAGTTTATTTGAGCAAACCATTTCTTGTCATATTTTTAGTTATTTACCAAATTTATTTGCATGTTATCATGTATTACAATCAGTGCTCACTAGATGGCATTAGAAATACTGTTTGTGCTGTATTCTATCAGATTTATTCTGAATTATGTATCATAAACACTGGAGATAAGCATTCCTATTTTTTTTACATAGTTTCATGGAAATTATATATATCACATACAAATCCAGATATGTAACATTTATTTATGGAGTATTCTTTGTGAAGAAATATAATAACAGATCATAAAAGAACTTTTGTTTCATTAACCCTTTCGCAACAGGCTCGGTATAAAATACAAGAGTTCGTATACACATTTGCCCATGTTAATTATTTATACTATAACTTTTAAAGCAGTATGTGTATCTTCACCAAATTTGGTAGACTTTCAGTAAACATTACAAGTCTTTTGTACACAAAAAATCAGATTTTTTAATGAAGTATTTTTGTTTGTGAATATATCAAGTCTGTTTTGTTACTAATCTGAACATGAAGTGATTTTCGTGTTATGATTAAAAAAACTATTTTTTGCCCCCCAAAATCTCAAATATCATTTTTTAATCTCTACAAACTCGTAAATGCATTTCGAACGTTTGTTTTCAGTGAAACTTTATATTTGATCTGTTATTTTCTCTACCCTAACTCTATGCAGGGTCGATCAAGTTAACCAACCTCACAACCACCACCACCACACACACACACACACACACACACACACACACACACACACACACACACAACAAAACTAAAACTTTTTTCTAGATATGACTTCAAATTGTAACATGAAACTACATTTGTTTATCTTAAGTAGCTTTAAACTTGTAACAGTATACATCGATACATAATTAAATTTTATTGTTTTATTGCTCTGTGATTGCCCTTTGAATAACTAACTACTGTTATTCATGCCATTACATGTTGTAACTCACTTGGAGAACGTGGAGTTCACACTACACTATCGAATTATATTATCAACGAGCTGCTCGCATATATGCCTTGTGAAACATTTTTATTATATCATTATTATTATTATTTATTTTATTTAATCTAACCTTAACTACCCTAAAGAGATCCTTAATTTTACATTTTAGTTACTTTTATAATAATAAAGAAAGAAAAAACAGGAAATAAAGTACTTACCCAGGTTTAATTTTTTTGCTGTCGACTGTCGATGACACTTTTCTTTTTTATACTAATGGTAGTAATGCACTAAATTTTTTATTTCATTAAATAATGCACCAAAGAACATAGAATAATAGCATGCAAAAAGCAGACAATTTTCCCTAACTATCACAATATTTCTGGCTTTCTAACCATGCAACAAAAACCATTACAAATTCATCCAGTTAATCCTTATTTTTCCCGTGAGAACAAAGCTCGTACTAACTGAGAAATTGATAAATTTCTGTTCAGAAACAAGGTAATATAATATGTTATTTGATAGATGAAAACCTTGGCTTTCTATTGGTTATAGATAATATAGACTTAAAAGTAAAAGTCTATTATTATTAATAAATTCTGAAAGAGAGGATGTGAAAGATGGGTGCGGCAGGAGGGGTCTGATTTTCTATTTGATGGCTCTGTAACCAAACAAGATTGAAGGCTATAAAAATTATGGTTTGACTGAGCAATGAAGATTGTATTGTGAGTAATTTACAATACATTTCATACTTATTGGAGATGTGGTGAATAAAGTAAATAAGATGGGATGGCTAGAGAAAATATGTCACATTTGTCACACTAGAGAAAATTCAGGATTTTTTAAAATATTGCCTTATAAAATTAAGAGCTTAAAACTTATACACTATTAAAATATGGATTATTAGCCACGATTATGCTATACTAATTGGTATAACGTAAACAAAAAGTAGTTTAATCAAATTTTGAAAATAACTCTCTTTTAGACTGTGACATGTACAGTTAGACCCACCTGTTGCGAAAGAGTTAATATACAAGTACAGGCTATCAAAAAGTGAAATAAAAAACCTGACTTTCTTTCAACTCATTTCCAAAGAGAGCCTGACACGGAAGGGGTTAACAATGAAAAACAATAAAAATACATAAATTTAATGCAATTATATATATTTTTTCTTGAATCTTTCAAGTAAATTTTAAATACGTACCAGTTCTGGTGGTGGTGGTGGTGAATTATACTGCTGGGGTAAAGGATACTGAGGGAAACCTGCAGGAGGAGCAGCAGGAGGTTGTGGGGGGGCTACAGGCGTGGTGGGGTAGTTTATCAAACCACTGTTTGCTGGAAGATAGGCACTAGGCACCACTGGTTGTCCTGAAGTCATGGAGACAGAAGGAAGAATTCGTGGTAGACTAGGGATGGGAGCACGAACTGCTGGAAGCAGAAAAAATAATCATTTCAGAAAATTTAACTATCAAATAAACAAGTACATATATAATGAAACACTTGCATGTGAAGGACATTTTTTTTTAAGTTTTTAGATTTGAAAATCAGCAAATATATATTGTTTTCATGGAGGATTCACATATTTAGTCTAACAAACTGTGAATCAAACTCTGGATTTTAGCATTGTAAATACATAAACTTATCACTGACCCACTGAGGAAGATAGGACTAATAAATGACAGGTAACTTCTAGTTATAATAAATGCATATGGGCTATCATAATTTCAATAACAAATATAATTTTGATTGGATTAACAAATTTTAAGAGACTTATGAAAGAAAAGGATCTCGATATTCTGGTTCATCAGTCTCTTAAGTCATCCAAACTAGCTATTAGTGGTAGAGCAAATAGGAATTTAGGTTGTATCTACAGAAATATCGAAGTCTAAAGAGATTATAATTTCATTTCAAATGTCACTGGTTAGATCACATCTGGAGTATTGCATTCAATTTTTGGCTTCTTACCTTAAGAAGAACATTGAATTGTTGGAAAGAATCCAGAAGAGGGCTATTAGGATGATACCTGTGATGGAAAGGTTGTCATACAGGGACATATTACAATTTCTGAAATTGTTTTCTTTGTTAGAGGGGACGTAATTGAGGTATTTAAGACTGTTAAGGAAATTTATAGTGGTGATGAACCACTTTTTATTTTTGTCGTACTTAAAGAATGAGAATGGTAGGACTAGGTGGACACAAATTTTGACATGGCAGGAATCAACTTTAGCTAAGACAGTTTTATTTTTTTCAACAGAGTGGTTGGATGCAGTAAATTTAAGGGAAAGCTTGATAAATATTTTTTAAATTTAGTTTAGTAGATAGAATGATCTAGATTGTAAACAAGTCCTTGTTAAATTATAAGTTATGTTATAATTGGTAAGTCATCTGTGCTTAATGACATTTTCAGAGTTTTTTTTTCTTGTGCTCACAAAAGGTATACAAGATGACTGGAGAAGGAGAATACTAAACTTGTTACTATTAAAAATAAGATATCTATTTCCTAAATATCAATTCTCTTTCCTATAAACTTTAGAGTATAAGAAAACAGCAGCTTCTCTCACCCCCACCATAGCCCTCCTGGTATGGAGCAGCAGCTGTATAGCCCTGAAAGTGACCTGCAGCCAATAAAGGGGGGCTGGTTGGTTGTTGGTGTTGTGTTCCTCGGGTCACTCCATCATTTGCTGCATACATAGGTCTATAACCTATATACAGAAGAAACGTAATTCAGGACTTCAGTACACAAACTTATTGATACATATACCACAGTTAACGGATAAAATATTTGAGAGGTGTTACCTTTTTCTCGTACAAAGTTGCTGCCTGTCATATGTGCTTAAGATACTGTTTTGGTATGAAGAAGCATCCAGGATCCAAAATAATATTAACCCGTGATTAAACCAAGCTACCTACATAGATCTTTATTAATGAGCACAGCTAATTAAATATACTGTTCAAATGATGACTAGAATGCACTTTTTCATCAGTTCGGTACTCTTGTTGTTAAGAGTATTTTAATATCAGTTGAAACTGGGGAAGACTGAAATTTGATTTTTTTTTTTTTACATTACTTACTACTGAGAATGAGGGTACTAACAGGACATTGATAAAGAATGTATTAATCCATGATACCAAAGCTGCCACTTGTAAAATACACTTAGATATACGAACCACAAACATGAAAAAAATATAAATGAAAATCTAGAAACCCAGTTATACCATTGATGCTATTTTTTCCAATTTTAATGTTTTATAAATAACACTTACTACATCTGTAAAGTGATATCCTGAAGCTACTGATATGCATCTCATGTGTAAATATTTATAAGATAAAAAATAAATAAAAATCACTGCATCTTCAAATTCTTAAGCATAATTTGATAACTTACAAAAAATACAAATACAGAAACTAAACAAAACAAAAAATGTCGAGTATAAGTGGGCAATAAAATGAGCACAAAATAGTGACGAATAAGACAAGAAGCAAAATAATAATCAAAATTATACGAATTGCAGAAAATTGCAAAAGATTTAAAGCTAGAGCTAGCATTGAGGATGCCCCCATTTCATCTGCATGCTGAAGAAGAACTTGTAAACTTACAATATGACCCAGATGCTTATACTCAAAAATTCTGTAACCAGCTAGTTGTTGGCATGGCAACAATCTTTCTTCAAAGCAATTAAATGTTTGGCAATATGGTAGATATAGAAAACAAATCTGAACATTATATAAAACCACCCTATATAATATCCACTAAGAGCAGATCTTATATACTATGGTGTTGAAAAGTGCAAGCTGGCAAACTAATATTTGCCTTGTTCCACACACACACAGTAGTTGTTGGTCATGAGATTTATGATATTAATAGCATCTAGACCAGCATTCTTCAAAGTACATGTCATGACCCAGTAATGGGTTGGAAAATCTTATTCAATGAGTCACAAGGCTTATAACAACAACAACAAAAAAAAATTTCATGTTAAGGTAAATTGTTTGGGTACACCGTGATTTATTTTTTATTAGTTTACTCCATTTGATTTTATTAATGTATTTATTAAGTAAACAATGTACTGTTATACTGAATTACATGTATTTCATGCCATTTATTTACTTTGATTTAGGGTTGAAAATAATGCATTTTAGTGAACTTAGCTGACAAATCTGGCAACACAGAGGGCAATTCATTCTTGACCATGTTAATGCTTCGGTATCCCACCAGTTTTGTTTATGCCTTTGAAAGGAGTGTAAGGCTGTCACCTGGTCACAAAAATGTTTGCCCCATTCCAAGAAAAACATGGATCGTTTTGTTATCAGAAAAAAGAAGATCAAACAGTCATCAAATCCATCTGCATTTGAAAATGAAGCAAATTTACTTGGATCTTCTGCAATAGAAAATGTTAGTAATAATGGAGAGGCCTTTGCCATGTTAGCCTCATCTGATTTTAAGTCTCCTACCAAAAAAGAAAGCTAAATCTTGGACAAGGCAGTATAGTTATGCTTTTTGGAAGTATGGCTTCATTAACTGTTGAAATGTAGAGAAGTTCTTGCTAACGTCTTAAAGCTGTCAAAATTAAAAAAGACAAAGATACAGAACTTGTTGATAAGCCCCTTGAATATTTCCAAAGGAAAAAAAAAATTACAAGTTCTTAGTAAGTCTGAATGATATAGCACTACTGGCACCATATTTAGTTGCATATCACATTGGCCAAAAGAGAATGATCTACACAGTTGCTAAAAAACCTATTCTACCAGTCTCTCTTGATATAGGAAGTAAAATTTTTAATGATAGGTCTGCTGAAAAATTGAAATGTATTCCTCTCAGTAATACCACAACATCTCTGAGAATACGTACCATCGAAGAGCATTTAGAAACCAAGCTGGTTACAAGTCTACTGTCTGCTGAGGGTTTTGCAATTCAACTTGATGAGAGCACTGACATTTTAAACTGTGCAACATTATTAGTTGATGTGAGATATGTATGGAAAGATGATTTTATGGAAGATTCACTTTATTGTCTAATCTTATCAAAAAACACAACAGGATCAGAAATATTTAATGCACTCCATAACTGTGTAGTTGGAAACCACAAATTGGACTTGGCTAATTGAAAGGAATTACAATTGATGGTGCAGCAAAAATGACCGATAGAAATAGTGGAGTTGTGAGAAAAATATTCGAGGCAGCTGGTAATAATGTTACTTGGAATCACTATTTTATACATCGTCAAGTCTTGGCTGTCAAGGGTATTCCTAACAATCTCAAGGTAGTTCTGAAAGTGGCTAATATGATTAAGGGAAGCTCAATTAACTGTAGGTTTTTTGAAGTGTTTTGTTTAGAAATGTGATCCAATCATTCTCTTTTACTGTATCACACTGAAGTTTGATGGTTGTCAAGAGACTCACTTTTTTCTACTTGAAAAAAAAAGTCTGACTTGGCAGATTTGTTCTATAATGACAATTGAATAATGAAGTTGTCATATTTAGCTGACATTTTTTCACATCTGAATGAACTTAATTTGAAGCGACAAGGAAGAGACAATGATTTGTTTCGACATAGTGAACAGACCCAAGCATTTCAAAATTCATTACTATTGTGGCAAGTCAGACTTCGAGGTGATCACCCAAGCTACTACATATTCCCAACACTGCTGCAATACATTGAAGAGAACAGTGTCAATGAAGAAAAGCTGAACGAAATACGGTTACATCTCTCTACTTCATCTGACAATTTTAGTTCATATTTTCCCTAAGAGAAATTTGAAGTTTTGAAAGAAAAGCATTGGATGAAAGATCTTTTTGCTTTTGAATACCTTGAATATATTGTAAGGTTTAACTTGACACCTGAACAAGAAAACCAGCTGCTCCATCTCACCTGCAACAGTACACTGAAAATTAAGCACAAATCATCAAATTTTTCAATGTTTTGGATCAGTGTTTCCAAAGAAAATCCAGGATAAGTGTTTTGCTGTTGCTGCCTTTACAACAAATTGTATGTGTGAACTTGGATTTTCCACTCCGACAAGGTTAAATACAAGAGAGAAAATGATTCAAGAGCACAGTTGATATGCATGTGGTGCTTTCATCGTGTGATCCACATTGGGACAAAATTGTGAGCAACAACAAGCAGGCTCACCTGTCACAATGTGTTAATAAATTCCAACCAATTTCTTTGCTGTGTATTTACTGGAGTAAATTTCTTTTAAGTAACATGAAGTTAAAGGATTGAAATTAGCATACTTATTAATATTATATCAAAAACATTCTTGTCAGACAACATTTTTGCTCCATGATTTTCTTGCACTGTGTCATGGGACAAAACATCTGAAGAAAACTGATCTAAACCTCTAATATGTATTTTATCCCAGCCAGTCTGATGCACCCTTGCATTGGGTAAAGGAATCTGTCTGCACTGGATATGGCATAAACAAATAAATATAATTATAACATCCACCAGTTTGATTTTATGCAATACACCTAGACATCTTTTCAATATTTAAATATTTGCTGGTATTGCATTAAATCTATTTATCAATAGCCTAAAAATGAGTATAACTTTATAAAACAGGTTTACAAACACCCACGATTAAGTGATTTGTTTTAAATATTGATGAAGAAAGGAGAAGTTAAATGATATTATCTCGGTGATGTCTTGTTATACAGCATTTATATACCTACACCAAATAAAACACATATACATACTTTTATATTAACAAACAACTGTATTCAGTTTAAAATTTTTCACCTGTTTCATAAAATCGAGGAGGTACAGAAGGTTGAGCAGGTTGATAGTTTGAAGTTTCTGGAAGACTTCGTTGTCTCAGGGAAGAGTATCGCTTCGGACGGTTTGTGTTCTGTACATCTCCACGTCCTCCTGATACATGTTCCCTCTGATGGGCATTACCCGAGTTACTTTGCGAATTAGGTTCTGTTTAAAAAAACTTTATAGGTTTTAGGTGGTACATCTTATGTAGTGCAATAAACTAAAAATATCTGTAAAATTAAAAACTATTACTTATTCTAGTCTTAAAAGTTCATATTACTGTAATTTACATTAATGAACATTTATATATTATGAACAAGTATCACCTCATAACACACACTCTTTGTTTCTAGATTCCACATGCACTAGTACACATTAAAAATGTTCAGATTTTTATAAATTACAACTGTTTACTAGTTACTACTTCTGAGATGTATATACATAACTGCTAGTTATTTTTCGGCTTCTCTCCTTGAAACTAAATTGTAAAACCAAAATACAACAACACACATTGTAGAAGCTTCTTAGATAAGAAGACTAGCTGGATGACTTGTCAGTTCTTCTGAATGATAGTGAAGTTAATTCAAGTAAAAATAATAAATAATTGGTGTCAAAAATAAATAAATAATAAAGTTATATTAATCATTGCCCTAATTCTGATTTGTACATGACTTAAATGAAACTGATACACTTCTTTTAGTTCACTCCATAACAGTTATTTATGAAACTGATGATAAACGTAGCACCTAGACCACTAATATGTTGGTTTTATCCCAGCTGGCCTGATGAATTCTGGCACTGAGTCAGGGTCTTTGTATGCACTGTATATGGCAGATATAGTATGGTTGAATGCAGACCACAAAAGTGGTGCTTTGGGATCTTTTCACTTTAAAAGTTTTGAGAAAGGTGTCAGCAATGCTACTTTCTGAGGTTAAGAGGGCACTACAAGACAGTGAAGACACTGGAAAGCTAAGCTCATGATGTTTTTTGAATATATTATTTAAATCTGAATAATATTTGTAGTCATTTTTGTATTTATAATAAAAATATAAGTTGATTTAATATCATTAGTATAATCAAGCTTTAAGTTGGAGGTGTAATTTTTTTACTAACTAATGTTAGATTAGGCTTAGCAAGTGTACCTTTACTTTCAATTCAGCTTATGAAGTTAAAAAAAGAAATCTAGATGAATTATATTACATAAATATAATTTAAAGACTCATTATTGTCTATTCTATATTTTAAAGATAAACCTAATTTCTTCAGTGTGAAAATAAAGTAGCAATAAAATAGTGAAATATATTTACTTCTCAAACATTAGGCTTGACAATGTTGTCATTTTTACTTGTATATAGTTTTAATACTACAGCTTTTAATAAAGTATGTATATCTTAACAAAATTTGACAGACATTTACTAAACATTACAACTTGCTTGTACACAAAATTGATTTTTTAATAAACTATCTTTACTAAAGATTTGTCAGTGAATATATGGAGTCTTTTTTGACCAGTCTAAGTGCAAAATGATTTTCATGTTAAGATTAAAAATACTTTAATGCATTTTAAAAATCTCAAATGTCATTTCTAAAACCTCCTAAATACATTTCAGATGTTTTTCAGTAAAATTTTATATTTTATTATTATTATTATTTTCTGTATGTTAACTCTATACAAGGTTTGTCAGCTTAACCATTCTGACCTCATAACCACCAGAAAAATAAAAAATTTAAATAAATTTAAATTATCCTTTTTTCTTTCTAGAATGACTTCTAATTGTAACATGAAACTACATTTGTTTATCCTAAGTAGCTTTAAAATCGTAACAGTATACATCTATTTATATTGAAATTCTATTGTTTTACTGCCCAATGAACCGTGTCTAACTGCTAGTACAATTAGCACCATTATAAGTTGTAAATCACCTGAGGAATGCGCAGCTCATGTTACATTAGTGAATTATATTACCCATGAGCTTCACCAAGCTGCTCGCATCTTGCCTCATGAAAAGTTTTATTACATTATTATTATTTACCCTAATCTAACCTTAACTAACCTAAAGACTTTCCTATTTTTACATTTTAGTTACTTTTATAATAATAAATGAAGAACAGACATGAAAAACATGAAATAAATTAACTACCTGGGTCTTCTTATTTGCTGTCAACTATTGTTGACACTTAACCCTACATATTTGTTTTTGTACTAATGGCAGTAGTGCATTAAATTATTTCTATTTAATTAAATAATGTGCCAAATAACATAGACTAATAACATACAAAAGGCAGACAATGTCCCATAACTATAAAAGTTTTTTGCCTTTCTAATTACGCAACAAGAGCTGTTACAAATTTATCCAAGTTGGTCATTGTGTTTCCTGCGGGTACAAAGATTGTACTGAAAGATAAGTTAATGTTTTTCTGTATAAAAACAACGTACCATAATACGACATTTGATAGATGAAGACCTTGCCTTTCTATTGGTTAAAAATAATATAGTATTAAATGTAAGAGAATTATTGACAAATCCTGAAAGAGAGGATGTGACTGGTGAGTGTGGCAAGAGGGGTCTGATTTTTTGCTTGATGTGATTTTAACCAAACAGAATTGAAGGTATGAAAATTATGCATTAGCTGAACGATAACAATATTATAATAAGTAATTTATGTTAAATTTTGTTCTTCTTGGAGGGGTGATAAATAAATGAGAGAAGAGGGGATGCCTAAGAAAAAATCTCACATTTCTCACACTAGGGGAAATTCAGGATATTTTTAAAATATTGCCTTATAAAATTAAGAACTTAAAACTTGTATACTATTAAAATATAGATCATTAGCTACGATTTTATGCTATATTAATTGGTATAACACGAACAAACAAAAAGTGGTGTAATTAAATTTTGAATGTAACTCACTAAAAACCTCGTGACATGCTCAGTAAAGGATGCCTGTGGCGAGAGGGGTGATTACTGCTGAAAAGTCAATAGACATTTTCTGAGGAGAACACATTGTGAAGAGGGTGATGAGTTTTCATCAAAAGAAAAAATAAATAAACTATATTAATTTGAAAAACGATTTGTAGCAACCCTGTTCAGTTGCAATATCTTCTGGTCACTTCTTTCTCTGGTTCATCGATTGTTGTATTATTTTGTGACAGCTGAGGTGTTTGGTATTTCTTGCAGTTTTACTTTATATACCAGGAACTATTTTGTTCATGAAATGCTGTGTAGGGTACAATTACATATTAGGGTTTGAAGCTGAATAAAAATGTTATTAGAATAAAAACATACCATTTATTTCTTTTTTTTTCATTAGTGGATATCTTTACAAAAAGTTAAGACTTTTAGTGCTGGATTTAGTTGCCATAATGTGTTAAAAAGATGCTAAGTAATAATTGCTAATCAAATTTAATATTGGTTAGCAGTTTCTGCTAATCAAATTCATTAAACTATTTTGTCCCCTGTAATGTCTCAAATGGGGTACCTCAGAGATCAGTGTTAGAGCATTTGCTCTTTTTTGATTTACATCAATAGATGAAAGATTGCTTAATAGATTTAAATTTACTGATGATATTAAAGTCTTGGGTGTTGCTGGCTGTAAAGAGAAGGAGGATGCTTTACAAAATGACTTAGATTATTTGATGAGTTCAGTAAATAAATGCCACAGGGTTGTTATTTATAATAAATAAATTTTATTTATTAACTTTACTGTCTATAGCAGTAGTTATAACCTGTCCTTTACAACAGGCAGAGCTAGATCTTAGCCGACTAATATTATTAACACGATTAATGGTTGAAAAGAACTTTTCATAAACAAATGTGTAATTATTACACAAGGTAATGTGTGTGAGTTATCATAATTTAAATTATAAATATACTTTTGATGGGAATAACCTTAACATTATAGGATAGGTTAAGACTTCTAAAATTTTCTTTTGAAAAAAGGAAGAGTTAGAGGGGATCTGATTGAGGTTTTTAGATTTGTTATGGAAATTGACGATGTTGATGCATCATTTTTTTTCCCCATACTTAATGGTGAGAATGGTAGGACTATAGGACACAAATTACATTTTGGCAGGGTAGGGGTCATTTTCAGCTAACAGTTTTATTTCTCCAACAGGGTGGTTGGCTATTGGAATTGGTTGCCTTCAGTTGTTGTAGATGTATAATGATTAGGATTTGTTTTTGTGTTTTTTTTCATGTATGGGATAGCCTAGATGAAACCAATAAACCTTGCAGTCCTGAAATTTAAAGTAATTACATGGTCTTCTTTCATTTCACTTGCAAGCTCTTAGAAATGCTTAGGTTATATAATCATTCAGCTGTATGTTACTCAAATTTCTTTTAATAAGCAATCAATATCCACTAATTCAGTGAGATTTCAAATCTCTTACGAGAAACCTTGCTTGACTCGTATAAAAACACAACCCCCCAAAACAGCAATAAATCATGAAATATCAATAGTTTCATATATTGTCAAACTTGTTTACAAATGGTTTATCTGTGCCACTAAAAATTCACTTAACTTCTATTTACACACCTAAGTAATCGTTACGCTGTCATTAGCTAATGAACTTTAAGTATATACAGAATTAAGCTTTATCTAGTTCAAGGAATATGTAAAACAGAAGTCAACACAGACCATTAAATTTCTAGATGTACAATTAAATTTTCAAATATGGAATATAGATTACTCAACAAGCACCATGAGTATGGTCTTTTTCACTTACTATGATTCTCCCTCCTTCCATCCTTACGAGGTATCTTGTCTTTGAAATTGGTTTGATTCTCTTTGACTCTTGGGTCACCAATTTCTAGCTTTTCAATTTCTCCTATAACACCAGATTCCAAGCTATCATCAGTGCTACTTGAAGTGCGTTGACGAGATCTGCTTGTGGTCTTCACATTCATAGCAGAATTCACCGAGTTGGTTGGATTGCTAAGTGTGCGCTCCAGTTTTCTCTGTCCTCTTCCGCGGCCTCTTGAAGCAGTTGGAAATGGTGGTCTTTTACCTCTTGGTGTCCTACTTGGATATCCTTGTCCTTTCAACTGTCTTTCTTCTTCTTTATCGGCTGCTTTATATTTGTTGACATATTTTGAATTTTCAAAAGTCAATGACTGTACTACTTCAGAATCTTTTGAAGCTGAATTATTTACAACTACATCACTTTCATTTTTATATGTATTTTGGTCTGTATGCTGTTGTGATGGAAGAGATGGGAAATCTTCAGTGTTTATTAAGGAGTCTGATGCATCTTTTGTAGATTTGCTATTTCCTCTACCTTCATTATCTTCATGTGTAAAAGAATCATCCCTATACTGCCTCTGTCCTCGTCCACGACCCCTACCTCGTCTTCTACCCCTGTTACCTCTTTCACTGACAAGCCCTGTCACGTACGCATCTTCATCTTGCCAGTTTCTTGTGTATTTGTTTGGTCCTCGACTGAAACATGAATAAAAACTTTACTGAAAAATCAGGTTTCAACTGATTTTAATCTTTTACAGAAAACATGCATCACAAGTTGATCACTGCCTCTTATACTACACTCTAGTGATCCCATACAAAAAAATACAGTTTCAGAACTTAATACATAAGCAACTGAAGTTCACATTCTGCTCTTTCTCTACATTTTGAAAACTGCAGATGGAGTGGAGAGTATTCATGTTCTGATTAAGAACTGGTTTTCTCAGCTTAATGGAAAGAGATTCTAACATTCTAGTGGGATTCTTCCAGGGAATGGAAAATGACATGAATAAACTGAAGATAGGCACGACATTACATGCATTTTGAATTCAAACTTAAGATGATAAAATCTCTTGCTTTTAAGCTAAGAAAACCAGCTCTTAACCAGAGAGTGAACACACGCAATTACATCTTCAATTGTGAAAACAGAACATGAACTTTGATCGATGAATGCCAGGTGGACTAAAACTTATTATATAAGTAATGATCTATCAGTACATAAAATCTTCTATGTTTTATGAAGTCCTTGCTACATGTGTAGGTTCACAAAAAATGTTGTATTAGTGTACCTTCTGAGTAGTGTACATCATTTTAATTTTTTGAAAGGCACCATATTTTCAATTAAAGTCAACAAACTATGTCGATAATTAAGATACAAACTTCTTTACATCTTTCGTTTTAGCAGAACAATACCTATTAAGTGAAAAAACAAAAAAATTAAGATGAAGGGGGGGATTCAAAATAGTTTCTGCCCTATAATACTTCTCTGTATTAGCATACTTTTTCCCCTAAACTACAGACAAAGAGTGGTGATATTCTTCATTTCAAACTCATTTTTCTGTAATTATAGTTTTTCCTTCTACTAGAGAGATGGAGGGAGAGTGGTGTATTCTTTTATAATACTGCTGGAAAATTTAACATTGAAAAAAGTGAATGTTGACTTTCAAACACTATAGAAAATAAAAATACTATCAAACTAAAATAAATTCAGCTTAAAGATAATTTTTTTGGTTTGTTTGTTAAAAAGCACAATGTTATGCAAGCAATGGGCTATCTGTGCTATGCCCACCATTGTTATTGAAACCCAATTTTTAGCATCATAAGCCCTCTGACTTGCTCAGAATGCAATATGTTAACAGATATTAAATCAAAATATGCCAAGGGAATAAATTTGAAGTGTGTGCATGGTATGAGACTTGCAAAAAAAAAATTAAAAAAGAAAGACATAGTACCATCAAATTCAGTTAAATCACATTAACTCTCTCACCTGTAACTCTGACCTCTTTGTACTCGTTTAAAGTCTTTATAGATTTAATACTTCTAACTTTCAATATAGTGTGTATATCTTTACAAAATTTGGCAGTCTTTTAGTTAATATTACAAGTCTTTCACGTACAAAGTCATATTTTTTAGTGAAGTATATTTAATAAAATAAAAATTTGTCCATGAATATATTAAGTATTTGTTTTGAATAGTCAGTGTAAAAAGTAATTTTCGCGTTAAAATTAAAAATACTTTTCCTCAAGTTTCCTTTGTGTAATCCCTAAAACCTCCTAAATGCATTTCAACAATTTTTTTTCAGTAAAACATTATAGTTTATCTGTTATTTTCTCTACCCTATTTCAAAATGGGATCGGTCATTTCACATGTGTGCCCCGTGAAACATTTTTATTATAATATTATTATTATTATTATTATATATTTTACCTAATCTAATCTCAAAAAATGTAAAAGGATCCTTATTTTTACATTTTAGTTATTTTTATAATTATACATAAAGAACAAACATGAAAAACAAGAAATAAAATAATTAACCAATCTTCTTTTCATTTGCTGTCGGGTTTTCAAAGAGAGTTAACCCTGATGTTTTATATTATAGATAGTAATGCACTTAATTTTTATTCAATTAAATAATGCACCAAAGAATATAGATTAAGAACATGTAAAAAGTAGACAAATTCACTTACGTCTCAAAATTTTTCTGGCTTTCTAACTGTGCAACAAGAACCATAACAAATTTATCCAAGCTTGTTGTTAACTTTCCCACAGGAAAGATGTTAGTCCTCTGAGTGAAATTGACATCTAAATGTTATGTTCAGAACATAAAGTTATGCAATACATCAT